TGTGTTTGAACAATGAAAAATATTAAAGAATTGAAATTTTCAGACACACTGGGTTATATATTAATAATTTTTTGCTTTATCATTTCAATTAGGTTCGCCGATTAGTTTCGGCCAGCATGGCCATCACCAGTAGAAAAAAATCCTCGCTTATTAATATATATATATATATATATATATATATATATATAGTCGACTCGATCAAGTTAGTTATGGAAGTTAAAGATTTCAAAAGCAAGCAGTCTTTATAATCGATGTAATCAAGTTTCCTGAAGAGTGGAGGTAATCTCTGTGAAACCACGAGTAGAGGCAAAATAAATGCATATTTAATTTTATTTATTACGATATATTTGGAGATTTATTTATCGATCCATTAATCTTTTTTCTATCTCAATTTGCTCCTCTTTATTCTCTTTATTTGGCTTTGCAGTTTGTCTCTTTCCAGCGTCCCTTTCAGTTTTCCAATAATATATACAACTTTGTCCTTGACATAGAATCTTAAAATGTCTGACTTAGTTTCCATTCGCCTTCCAATTCTCTTTTCCTTTTCCTTAATTACACAATATTTTTCTATTATTTTCCGTCTTGTGCTTTCTTCCTATTGGCTAAAGGTATATACCTATTATAATTGCATAATTGTCTGTCTGGAGGTCGCCATTTAGGCACACGTCTCTCTTTCTGTTCAAATTGGTTAGATCGATGGATGGAAATCAGTTATATCGGTAGTTCCATTATAGTCACGAAGATTCGTATCATGCTGTTGAGAAAAATGGTTCACTGTGTCGTGCTAGACATTTTTTCTCGCTGGAATCTGACACATTTATAAATCCATGCCTTGAATATTGCAGCCACATATGGTCTAGTGCTTCTGCTATGCATTTAGAGATTCTTGATAAAATACGAAGAATAATCTGCAATGCTATTTATCATGACCTGGCATCTTGGCTTCAGTCACTTCCCCACCGCCGTAATGTAGCTTCCCTGTCACTTTTCTATAAATATTTTCATTATAATTGTTCGCATGAACGTTTCTCCATCACTATAAATTTAAACGTAGTGCTAGATTGGCGGCAAGGTCTCATCATTTTACAGTCGGAATGACTTCATGTAACCATAAGTTCAATGCTAACAGTTTTTTTTTCCTCGGACTTCTCGCTTGTGGGACTCTTTTCCAGCTTCTTTCTTTCCAGTCAAGTTTGATATTCAAAAATTTAAATGCAATGTCTATATCTTCTCTCTTCTTAATTCCTGTTCTTTTATTGTTCTCTCTCTCCTTAATAATGTTTTATCGCATATACTCTCACTCTCTGTAAACCCCCTTGCATCTTAGTGGCTTTATTGTGTTGCTTCGGGTGAAATGATTTTAAAAATGTTCGACAAACAGAAGTCGATTTCACTCCTATAATATTATCAAAATAGTTAAATGTAAAAATTAATTCTTGTTTTTGCCATTCCTAGGGCTTAACCAGTTTCCTTTTTACACACATTCCCTTAGAAAAGGCATGAAACTGTCTTCCGACCTCTGACTCTACTGGACGCATCGACATGATAAAGAAACGATATCGGTCCAGAAAACCGTATATATTGGAAGACCCAGACACTGAATCATTACAAAAGTCATCAGGAGAACAAGGAGGAAACGAAAGTCTTAATCTATTTAATTTCTCTCCAAATTATTCTCTGAAATTAGGACTTAGGATAAATCTTTCCAAAATAGAAACTATGTCCTGGAAATGGAGTGAAAGCAGTGATGGCACTAATAAAGACTAAACATTTCATATGAAGACTAAAGACTTCAAATATCTCGGTGTATGGAACAGTTGTAACAAATTTAGTATAGGTGATAAAGAAACCAAATATGCATAAAAATATTTTAAAAATTGAAAATAAAAAATAGAAAATAAATAAATAAATAAAAATAGCAGGAAAAAAACATGCTCATTGGCAGGATGCATAAAAAAGACGGGTCACTGATATTAGAGAAAGAAGAAATACTGAAGATATAGAACAAATACACCAAAGGACTCTCCGATGGTAAAATCATATAACCGACCATACACAGAATAAGGAAGGACTAGAAATATTGAAATCTGAAGTGGAATCAGCAATGACGAAAATGAACAGAAACAACGCAGCAAGACGGAATCGTAATAAAGATGCTAGCAGCCTTAGATGATTTCATCATTGACAAGATTACAGACGTAATAAATTAAATATAAAACCGTGGCGATCTTGAAGATCTAAATAGTTCCGTTTTCATAGCACTGCCTAAGAAGCCAGATGCAAAAAAAAATGTTAACTCCATCGAACACTCAGCCTCATAAGTCAATTAATAATCATCTGTATCTTGATGAAAAGAGTGTGCAGCAAAATCAGACCGGCAATAGAACAAGAACAATATGCGTTCATTAAAAACACTGGAACAAGGAATGCAATATTTATGCTCAGAATGATATCAGAAACAGCAATACAAATGCAAAAGTATAAAGCTTTGTTTTATAGATTACGCAAAAGCCTTTGATAAAATACATCACAAAGATACGCCGTCCTGGGTATGACGATAAACTACATCCGCGTCTTGGGTAAAACGATAAACTATATCCAACAGCAAGTCCTCTGATCAGGAGGTTTTAGGGGCGTGGAACCACCTTTTAATTGCTGGTGTTCCACCCTGACCCGGGGTGGTAGCACCTGTCAGGGTCCCAGCTATCGGCAAATACTTAACCCCGAAACTGTGGTAAAAAGCATTATGAAAGTGTAAAAATAGGTTTTAATACCAGAAATACTCTGTAAAAAATTATTACCAGAAATAAATTTTTGAAGAAAAAAACTGTTACCAACAATACTTTTTTGAAAAAAATATATTACCAGCAATATATTTTTTAAAGTAATATTACTTAGCTATACATTTTTTAATATAACATTACCAGCAATACATTTTTGAGGAATAAAAATATTACCAGAAATAGATTTGTGACAAAACAAAAATATTACCTGGAAAAAAAATTATCGGCATTAAATGACCCATTGAGGTTGATATGCCGTAAAACAAAACAAACCAAACCAAACCAACAAAGATACGCTGGAACTGCTACGTAAAATTGACATATATGGAAAGGATATTAGAATAATACCGAAATTATACTGGCAACAAACCGCCTGCATACAGATAGGAAATGAGTTCAGTAAATATACAAAAATAAAAAGTGTTCTAAGACAAAGTTGTGTCTTCTCACCATACCTTTTCAACTTATACAGCGAGACCATTCTGAGATAATTAGAAGCTCCACTAGGATTTATTGTTGCCGGCCATAATCATAAGAACATAAGATATACAGATAGCAATGTGTTGATCGTAGATACGGAAAGGAAAGTACAAGAACTCTTACAGAAGGTAGCAAAGGGAAAGCGAGAAGAAAGGACTAAAGATCAATTACAAGAAGACAGAACGTATGATTGTTAACAAAAGTGACAGTTCAACGTGCAAATTACAGATTGGGGATGGCGAAATCAAACAGGTTCACCAGGTTAGATATCTGGGAAGCGTAGTAGCAGAGGACGAAAAGTGCGACCCGAAAATCCGAAGGTACATTGGGATAGAGAAAGATGCCTTCCAAAAGCTGAGCAGAGTATTAAGAAACAGAAAAGAGTACTTAACTATTATGTAATATCAGTCCTCATGTATTCAGTGAATGCTGAACAATCTCGTCGCAGATGAAGAAGAGACTTGAAGAAACAGAAAGTTGCTGAGAATATCATCGCCCCAACATGCGAGCAACGATGAAAGTTCTAAAGACAAAAGCAACAAAAAGGACACTTCTATTTAACATCGGGAAGAGACAGTTGTAATTCCTGAAGCACATAATGAGGAAAGAGGGCTTGAAAAAATTGATACTCACAATACACATTGAAGGTAAAAGAGACAGAAAAACAATGCATAACCTAGCTGGCGTGCTTGAGTGACTGGATGGCAGAGAAGGGTTTAGGGGAGATGGCAAATAGACAAAATTTATTAAGAGCTATAACAAGGACAAGAAATTGTGGCGAGCCGTGATCGTACTGAAGGGACACGGCACATAGAAGAAGAAGAAGAAGAAGAAGAAGAAGAAGAAGAAGAAGATAGGAAACTGAACAGAAAATAGGCTGTGCTTATTGTAGTTTTATCAAACACTGCAACTTGAGACAAAACCGAAACATTAACATAAGAACTTGAATAATATTCTTAGTATCGTCTGATCTCGAGTCTCGTATATCAACGTTTGGTAACCAACTCGTTCAGAAATGTCTAAACTATTAGCTATATACAACCATTTTCTCAGATCAATGATTAAAAATGGCTTCGAGCGATAATAAGAACTCTACTTCGTCTGGCCCCGCAGACTAGGGATAAGGACTTTGGTAAGCTTCCAAAATGGATAGTACATATTACTCGAAGAGAAAATAATGGCCTAATCAAGATCTTAACTTTCCACGCTACCTTAAACAAAAGGCTAGGAAATAAAGCCTCATCAATACTTGAAAGAGCGATAACAGCCAGTAAACTTGAAAAACCTTGAAAACTGTTTTAAGAAAAAGATTTTATAAATTTCAACCTGCAGTAATACTGAGTGTTCGTCAATGGATGTCGAATGTTTCCTTATAAGGAAACAGCCTTTTCAGCGACATCACATTGAAACATTGGTTTCTTTTCTTTTTTTCTTTTTTTCTCCTCACTATAAAAGTATTCTCATTCTCTTTTACTCCTAGTAAAGCCTTGTACCTTAGTGGCATTATCGCCTTACTTGGGGTGAAAAAACGATGCTACATTCATTAGTTCCACCATTTCTGATTTTCACAGCTAAGATTCGACATGATACGTGCATCAAGTCGAATCCTCCCCATTCCTTTTGTATTTCGTAAGCTCGAAGGAATTTCCATTCGAACAGCTTCTTCCCATAAAACTTTCATTCCCAAGATTATATCTTCCCTATGTATCCTCATAAATTGCAATTCTTTCCTTTTACGGTTACCATACAATCACCGAAGTTAAGCAACGTCGAGCCTGGACAGTACCTAGATGGGTGACTGCCTGGGAATACCAGGTGCTGTAAGCTTGGTGGTGCAATGGATAATGGCTCGGAATTTTTAATAGAAGACCCGAGTTCCAATTCCCGTTGGGTTCGTTAGATTCACTTAAGTGCAAATACCATTGAGAAAGGTATGAATTCACCTCTTGTCTCCCCAGCTATGGGTTAATTAGCAAGACTTGTGTCAGTATATCATTATTATCTCCCTAAGAAAATTCTTACAATCTAAAAATATTTTCTGGCTCTCAATAACCTTCAAAGAGTTTATAAACTGTGGAAAACGAATCAATCAATTAATTGTAAGGAAATGGTTAATCCTACTATCATACTTACAGATAAGAAGAACAGATACTACATTTTGATCTCAGCCTGATGACCAAGAAGTGAAGAAAAGCGTAATTAGATAGCATTGGCTTTTCGGTCAATGACTGCCAAATGTTTTAATGTAAGGAAACGACTATTTTTATTATTATTATTACTATTATTCCACGGTCCGACATCTTGGCCTAATATTAACACTTCCGCAAGAAACAATAAATGAGTATATTTTCATTAATCAGTTATTATCTAAATTAATTTCGAAGTCGATCATAGACCTTATTCTAGCACAGACTTTAAATGTTAAAGCTCATTTTCCTACACCAAGACGATCTTCAAAATTTTAAATGCATTATCAATCATCGTCTTTTTCCTTGACTCGTGTTCTTTCATTGTCCTCTCTATTTCACTTTCAGTAACCCAATGCATCTTAGTGGCTTTCATTGATTTGCTTGAAGTGAAATGGTTTTTCCTTATAGGATTAGTTTCTTGTAGTAACAAAGACAGGAAGTTGTGGAGAGCTTTGGTCGCTCACGTCCTAAAAGGACATGGTATATGAAAAAACGAAAACTATTTACAAGCGTTTTCCCAGTTATGCTCGCTCATACTCATTTTATATTCAATCCCAACCAAAAACAAAGCGCGTTCGTGCATGTATACGTACGTGTCATCTCTTCTGACGAAACCTTGGTATCAACCTCAAGATTCCACTCCCATCGCCAAAATGGTTACACTACCTACTTAAAGAAATCCGATACAGCGAGATAAAAAAAAACGGTCGGGTCTGGGGAAAGAGGTTCGTTCAATGCCACTTTCAATGTTTCGCGGGCTTTCAAACTGGGGACAGTCACGTGACTCATCACTATTCCGACAAGCCTTTTATGCTGATATTTTTCGATAAATGTTTTCGCGTTATCATTTTAAATCGTTTTATTTCTCTATGTCCCTTCTTTTTTTTTATCATTTTAACATTTTTGTTTTGTTTATTGTCTTTCGACCGATTCGCCATCTTCTTCATCTAAAATTTCTCCGTAATACAATATTCAGTCCTTACTTTCTTAATTGGGTTTTCTTCCATTTTGTTTTCTTTTCCATTCTCGTTTTCTGCTTTTTAATATTTTTCATTTTATTCTGCTAGCTTCTTAAGTATTTTGGCTGGATTTTATTCCGTGATTTTCGATTTTAACCATCATTCTTAAATGTTTTACCAGATTTTGCATTAATTCTGAATTCCATATACCTCTCAGCTGTTCATTTTCTTTAAGTCTCTTTCGTCGTCGTCGTCGTCGTCTTCTTCTTCTTCTTCTTCTTCTCTTTCTGTCTATTCATACCTTCAATCTTTAACTTATTGCTTATCATCTTCACTAATTCATTTGCATTTCTTCTTCTTCTTTTTATTCTTCCTTCTTCTTCTTCGTCTTCTTCTTCTCTTTCTCTCTATTCATTCCTTCAATCTTTAACATTGCTTATCATTTTCCATAATTCCTCCCCATTTATTCTTTTTATTCTTCCTTCTTCTTCTTCTTCTTCTTCGCTTTCTATTCATTCCTTCAATCTTTAACTTATCATCTTCTCTAACTCTTTCGCATTTCTTCTTCTTCTTCTTCTTCTTCTTCTTCTTCTTCGCTTTCTGTCTATTTATTCCTTTAATTTTTAACTTATTGCTTATCATCTTCCCTAATTCATCCGCATTACTTCTTCTTCTCCTTCTTCTTTTTATTCTTCCTTCTTCTTCTTCTTCTTCTTCTTCTTCTTCTCTTTCTGTCTATTCATTCCTTCAATCTTTAACTTATTACTTATCATCTTCTCCAATTCTTTCGCATTTCTTCTTCTTCTTCTTTTTATTATTCCTTCTTCTCTTTCTGTCTGTTCATTCCTTTAATCTTTAACTTATTGCTTATCATTTTCCCTAATTCTTTCCCTAATTCTTTCCCATTTCTTCTTTTTATTCTCCCTTCTTCTTCTTCTTTTTCTTCTTCTTCTTCTGTCTATTCATTCCTTCAATCTTTAACTTATTGTTTATCATCTTCCTTAATTCCTTCTTATTTCTTCTTTTTATTCTTCCTTCTTCTTCCTTCTTCTTCTTCCTTCTTCTTCTTCCTTCTTCTTCTTCCTTTCGTCTTCTTATCTTCCTATCTATTCTTTCCTCTTATCTTTCACTTCTTGTTCATCATCGCCACTAACACCTTCTTATCTATTATTCTTCTCTTTCTTCTCCATTTTTCTTTTTCTTCTTCTTCCTCCTCCTTCTTCTTATCTTCTTCTCTATTCATTCCTTTAATCTTGCACTTCTTGCTTATCATCATCAGTAATTCATTCCGATTTATTGTTCTGCATTTTCTGTTTCGTTTTCTTTTCTTCTTCTTCTTCTTCTTATTTTCTTATCTATTCTTTCCTTTATTTTTTCACTTCTTACATACCATCATCATTAACGCCTTCCTATCTATTCTGCTTCTTTCTCTTCTTCCTTCTTTTTTTCTTCGTCTTCTTTTTATCTCCCTATCTATTCATTCCTTTAATCTTTCACTTCTTGCTTAGCATCATCCTAATTCCTTCCTATCTTTTCTTCTTTTTCTTTTTTTCTTTTACTTCTTTTTCTTCTCTATAATTTCCTTTAATCTTTCAGTTCTTACTTATAATTATTACTAAGTAATACAATTTATTCTTCTTCGTTTTTTTTCTTTCTTCTACCTTTTCTTCTTGTTTTTCTTCTTCCTTCTTCTCCTTCTTTTTATCTTCCTATCTACTCATTCCTCTATTCTTTGAACTTCTTGTTTATCACCTTCCATAATTCCTTCCTATTTATTCTTCTTCTTCTTTATCTTCTTCCTTCTTTTTCGTTTTTCTTCAACTTTTTTTCTCTTGCTATCTATTCTCTCCTTTAATCTTTCACTTTTTACTTATCTTCATCTTGCTTCCCATCATCATCATCATCATCATCATCATCATCATCATTCCTTCCTATCTCTTCTTATTGTTATTCTTTTTCTTCTTATTTTCTCCTTACTTCTTTTTTCTTCGTTCTTATTCCTTATTCTTCCTCCCCCTTTTTTTTCTTCTTCCAGATATCTTCCTATTCTTTTCTTTCAGCTTTCTCTTCGTCTGCATTAATTTGTTCGTCGCTACCCTGTAATTTCTCCTCCCCTTCCTCTTCCTCTCCCTCCTCGTACTCCACCGCCTCATTCTTATTCTTCTTTCACTTATTCATTCTTCTTTTCTTTTCTCTGTTCTTTTTTCACATCCACTTACTCGTTATCTCTTTCTTCGTTATCGTCATCATTCTCTTTCTATATTTTCTCCCACTTTCTCTCTCTCTCTTTCTTTCTTCGCTGAATCACTTCGTTTCCTCTTTTTTTTTTGCCTTCTCCACATTCTCCTCTTTCTCCTTTACTACAATATTTTTTTATTTTTTCTACTTCGTTTCTTTCTTCCTTTCTTCCTCTATCGTCATAATCTTTGCTTCTTACTTCACACTTAATCTCAATTTCTTTCTACTTCTCAATTTACACTAAATGTTTCTTTCTTTACTTACCCACTCGCTTTTCTTCCTGTGCCAATTTCTTCTCATTCTCTCTCTCTCTCATTTATTTAATCCATCTAACTATTTATCTATCTATCTATCTATCTATCTATCTATCTATCTGTCTGTCTGTCTGTCTATCTATCCATCTCCATATGTCTTTATCTACTACCCTCAATTTTACTTTACTGACTTTTACATTCGGTATTTTCTCATTTCTACTTCATATTACTTCAGTATTCTTTCGTCTTCTTCGACTTGTTCTTCTACTACTACTACTACTACTACTACGAATACTTGTTTTAATTTCATGTATTAAACTTGGAGTTCTGCTACTACCTTCATTACACTACTGTTACTACTCTTCAACTAATAGCCCTTCTCTACTTCTATCCTTTTTTATCCGTCCCACTCCCTCTTGTAATAATAATTTGCCCTTTTCTTCATTAAACAGCAATCTTTTTTACCCTTTTCTATTTATCGCGACCACCACCACCACCGCCACCGCGACCACCACCACCAGCGTCTTGTTGCTGCAGTTGTTGTTTCTGGCGGATTCTCTTTCTATTCTTTCTCACTGTCATCATTCCTTTCTGTTCAGTATTTATGTTCTTTTAGATTTACAGAAAATTATTTCCTTTCTTTTATATTCTACATTCTGTTTTGCCAATATTATTATTATTATTATTATCATTACTAATACAACTATTATTATTATCATCATCATCCTCATCATTATTATTATCATTACTACTACAACTACTATTATTAGTATCATTACTACTATTATTATCATTATTATTATTACTATTATTAGTATAATTGCTACTCTTATTATTATTATTATTGTCTTCCCTCTCGACCTCCTACTACTTCTCTACTTCTACCGCAATTTCATTCTTTTTTTTTTTCTGAATTGCCTACATTTACCTTCCGATCTCTCCTCATTTTTCAAAATGGTTTCCAGTTAAAATTTTAAACTTTCCTAGATTCTTCTGATTATTATTACTACTACTCGTCTTTTCTTTATTCTTCCTCCTCCTCCCTTCTTCTTCTCGTCCGCCTCTCATTTTCAAATATTATTTTCTCTTCTTTTGCCTCTTATTGTTTTTAACATTTTTAATAATTTCTATTTCCAGCTTTCTTCGATTAATCACGTCATCTGTGCCTCCTTCATGCAAAGTTAT